TTAAGAACACGGTAAAATTATATAATCATCGTGGGGACCTAGGACAATTCTACTCGCCAGCAGACAACCCAAGCTACCATATTTGAATTCCCAGCCCTTCTAAGCTCCGCTACTGCGACCTCGCCATGTGCAACGGACTTGGAACTCGCCAATGACATCGTACAGGCATGCTTGGATGCATAAAGGGCAAAAAGGGGAGTTGCGGGAATCGAACCCGCGGCCTCTCGCACCCAAAGCGAGAATCATACCACTAGACCAAACTCCCTTGATAATCATAAACCATTCCACTATTATGTAGCACAAAGACAGCCTTACAAACGTCCACCCTTCCTAAGGTATGGTTACGACCCTGACATCCCGGAACACCCTAACGCCACTCCCACTCAACAACGGATGAAGCAAAAAGATGACACTTCCGTACACCCTAACGCCACTCAACAACGGATGAAGCAAAAATTTTCCACTCAACAACGGATGAAGCAAAAAGATGACACTTCTGTTGCAAGGAAAACGGGGAGTTGCGGGAATCGAACCCACGACCTCTCGCACCCGAAGCGAGAATCATACCACTAGACCAAACTCCCATATGCTTCAACACAGAGACACCCCCTATCCATCTCAGCGAAGGCACATTCGAACATACCGTCACTCCCATGTTTCAACGCGCGCCATGACGCACTTACAAGGCTTACATGCATCCTACGCTTCCACAGTGAACGCCAGCGATCGTTGTCATTCCATGGGGACCTCTAGCATTTGAAAATCCAGAAGAGCCGTTATTGCCACATCGATCTCGCCCGCTGTTGTGTGTCATCGTACACGGCTTCATACATGCTCGCCTTGCGCCCAGACCTCTGCCCGTGCCACAAAAAGACCTGCAGTTCGGGCTGCCGACACCCCTTGCTTACCTCACAGAATCTCTTGCTTACCATCTTTACTGCTGCGCGCCTGGAGAGCTGCGAGCCCGACAAAGCTAGATAACACCTCGCAATGGAAAAAAAGATTTCGCATCTTCCACCTTCAGCCTGAGTAACTTTCACCACGGAATGTAGTGTCCCTGATAACATTGGGGGTTATGGGCCTGTTAGGTATGGATGGCCGACGACGCGCACCGAGTCGAACAGGTGTGGCGCTAACCTTGTGACTATAAGTTCTCGTGATGAAAACAATTACGTAGAGACAAGGGAAACAATTGGACACGCAAAGCAGAAGTTAAGCCTACGCGTCTGACCGCGGCCAGGGACAAAGCCCCAAAAACGAAAGTATACACATACAATGAATTTTAAATCTTATCGCATAGACCAAACCATCAAGAGGACAGTATGATAATGTAGCTGTGATGGCTCATTGACGCAGCCAATGTGAGCCTTTCCGAGGTGGCGGCCATTGCTGCCGCTGGCGTCTTTCGGCCGCACCCCAACATAAGAACCTTCTCACTCAGATAATGGTATTAATTCACGCAGCTGGAATCCATGATAGGTATTAACGCCGCCTAGAATTCTTGAGAAGTTGGAAGCAGCTCCGCGCTTGTGCTGATTTAGAGAAACGAGCCCGGATAGACAAAAGAAGGTTTAGTAAAAGACAAGGTGCCGAGCTGCCTTACCGTATCACCCCTGGAATTGCCAGCCCTCGAGTACGAGGCGCCGCTTTCGAGAGCACGCTCAAATCTCAATAGGGGCCGTTGGCTTCCCGGAAGTCCTCGTGCTTCGTGCCTCGACACCTTAGGTAGGACGAACGCTTAAAGCACGAGGACATGATGCTCCGCTGTCAATCTATTATGACTTGCCAAGAAACACCTTCCCAGAGTCAGCATATATCCTACTTATGCATAGGACACCTATACTACATATTTATATGAAGGCAAGAAAATCTCGAGATATTACACACAGATATTAAGAGAACAAATTATTTGAGGTTTGCACGTTTCGTGCAGTGCTCGGGCCGAAACGGAAACTCTGCGAAACGGAAACTGTGAGAAAGTTGTTTCCGTGTTTTCTGCAAAGAGGACTAGGAACACCGGAAAGGCCACAGGGAGACAAAGGCCGAAAGTAGCTACCGCTCTTTCGGCCAGCGCCGTACGCGGAATCTGTCATCAAAGCGTCCGCATGGTCCTTAAGCCTGCGAAACTATGCAACTGTTTGATTTCATGCTTGTAATGTCAGAAATAATTTCAGTGTTAGCGGAGAACCAGGCACCTAAGTTGACGGCTCTGACTGAGTCAAAAAGAAGGGAAGGAGGCCCAGGTTCATTATGAGGAACTACAATACCAAGTCAAAGACATGGAGCGTCTCCTGCAAGTACTGTCCCTGCCCTCATGATCTTCCAGCTTTTTTTCCTGGACCAAGAAGCTTCATGTAAGATGCTCAGGGCTGCCTCTGTCAATAGATGATCACTTATCCCAGAACAGTTCAATCAGCAAACCGTCAGATGCCGTGACACTTCCCTACACCTCTGTAGCCCTCTTCCATGAATGCAATTTGCAACTCTTGTAAGCAAAAGACATACAGGATACAAAGGATACAATTGTAGGCTTGTGCGACCTTTGGGTAGATGACAGTCGGGTGATCATGAGACCTGAAGGGTATCTAAGCATGCGCCTCGACGCGTAAGGCCCATTTACGACGTTTGCCATGACAAATTTCAGCATTTCGAGGTTTCCGACAGTTACCGGAGGTTTCGCAAGATTTCGCAGGAAGGTCAAAAATCGGAAACTGTTTCGCAAACGCAGTCTAGGTTTCGGCCCGAGTACTGGTTTCGTGCACATGGGAAGAGTACGAGACCTCGAATCTCCGTACTGACCACTAAACAAGAATTTCACACGTGCGGCCAAATTCAATATCTGCAGCCAACCGCCATTACATCGTGCCAAACCGCACGCCGCTGCTTGCCAGCCGCGATCGTCTACCTGCCCACGCCCATGCCCATGCATGTGTCCACGCCACCGTGACTCATGCGCTCTTTCTTGCTGCGCCAGCGCCTCCATGTGATGCCAACTGACCTCCTTCAGCCCCATTAGCAACACCAAAGCCGCGCTGCACCGCCCACATTATTTCCACAGTATTTCCCCGGGTTCCCTGCTGCTCGCTGCTGGGGCCTGCCCTGCTGTGGTGGTTCGTTGCTGCTGTCCCTGCTGCTGATGCGGATCCAGATTAAGGTCCAGATCCAGACCCGCACATCCCGTGTAGATGTAGCACAACACACCGTGCAACACACCAGCATCCACATCCTCCATTCACACCACCCGTGTCCTGCTGTCACCGAAACCCCTTTGCTGCGCCTGCTGCCTAAAGCACCGCCACTATCGTTGCTCCACGGGCCGCCAGGGTGGCGCCGTGCCAGGAGCTGTTTGCGATACCAGATATTGCAAGTCGTGCTTAACAGGAATGCACGCACAATGAAATGTTACATTTGTAGTATGCCATTGGTCCCTAGCAAGGCAACAGCTCAAGCTACGCTGTGGAAGGGTCACGTGTGAACTACCCGTCCAAACTGGTCGGTAACTGGTCGCTTCAGTACCTGGCCGGTAGGGTAACCGACATAACGAGCTAACGACCCAGTAACTGGAGGTTTAAAGGTTACCAGTCGGAAAGGTAACCGACCGGTAAGGTTACAAGTCGGTTACAGGGTCTTTATCTCGAAATGTCGGTTACCCTACTGAAGCAAGCGGTTGGTTTAAAAGCCAACCGGTCGGTTACCAACTCTCTTATGCCATAGGGTGGAGGGAAGAATGTACGGAGGGAGGTGTGTATGGATGAGGGGATGGAGGGAGGGAGGGAGTAGGACGGGGGGAGTGATGAATGGAGGAATGGAAGAATGGAAAGGGGGGACATATGAAGGGATGTATGTATGTATGGAGGGAAGGAGAGCGGGAGGGATTGTAGGCAGTTCGCGGATTTTCCGACGCCTTGCAGGCAGTTCGCGGGTTTCCACACGCCTTGTAGGCTGTTCGCGGGTTTGCTTAGGCCTTGTAGGCTGTTTACCCTACTGGTGGGTCACCCCACCGATAGGCTACTTACCAGCCGGGACAAACAACTTGCTTGACCGTAATGGAATGTAATGGAAAGTGCCTAACCATACATAAAAAGTGCCCTGTCTACATCTGCTGGTTCAATGAAGCGACCAGATCTGCCTGTCACAACATTATATCCATCAGCGACATAATTTTTAATCATAACATCCAACAGCCAACTACCCACAACTGTTAGGTCGTGTTCACGCGATCTCGTTGTGTGACAGTTGAGAACGATTGATGATTCTTAGTTGTGGCATCGTGAACTGGTTGCGCTAACGGCATGAGTTGGTGCATAATAGGGTTTGAGGGTCGAAGGCGTAAAGGCCCCCTTAGGTGGGTGGTCCTTTATGCCCCTTATCCTGTCTCTCTCCCATGTGTGATTTATACCGCGGTGAGAGCCTACATCTTTGTCGTTTGCCTCTCGAAGCTAATCTTCGTGAGCGTACATACCAGGCTTGCCTGAGGGGAGTCGGAGCGTTAGCCCATACATGATCAAGTTTCGATCATCAAGTGTGAGGCCAGTCGAACACTGGTCCCAAATATTCACTGGTGCCTCAGGTCACAGGTAATTTCTGGCCAGTCTTTACGGAGCGAATAGGGTGCGGCTGAACATATTAAACGACTTCACCATCGCTGGAGCAGAATGTGATTTTTTACTGGTCAAGTGCAGCACCCCAAGGAACGCCTCCCACACAACACTGTGTGCCTTATTCACAAAGAACCGCGAGCTGTCCTTTATGTTGGTCTTTGTCTTTTTCGTCTTTTTGTCTTTAGTATTTTTTATTTGTCTTCGCATTTCTTGCTTTTAAACAATCAATTGTTCTGTGGACTTCTGCATGCCAAAAGACATGCGGACGCGCCCGCGTGAAACGCCAGGGCGTTTCAGGGAGCACTTGGGCAACCCGCTGGCCGGTCCTCACAGCAGCCAATCTAGCCAAATCACCGCACGCACGCGACTTTCACAGGGCCGCTCGTACATGCATCACGTTTTTGCGAGGCTGCTTAAAATATCAGCACGGAAACGTACGCGGCTTGTGCTCCGGCCCTAAGTATCGGAGTCGAAGCACAAAAACGGTATCAGAGAATTACGTGAAAACGTCCCGGAGCTCGACACCTAAACGTTTTTATTATAGCTTTCTTACCATAACCAAGAAACATCATAGAACCGTCACACGCTAAACGAAAATTGCATAGTTTCACTGCATCACTGACATTGGAAAACCTTTAGACTGCATTGCCTCAGTTGCCGGACCATGGCCCAACCTCTTCCGTCCATCCCCCTTTTCAGCCCTTACACTGTCACCACGCAGCCCCACCACCATCACGCGCACAGACCAACCATCAGCCACCTGTCTCTTCGAGGGCTGCCCGGAATCAGTCCTTGACGAAGCAATTTCAACCTCCGAACATTGCATTGAATGGGTCCATAGATGAACACAACACTCTCAGGACTCGTGGCCCCAACCGCAAGCAACGTCCCAACCAAATCCCGCAGCGAAGCACCGCAGTTTGTACACAGGTACGCCTCCACACATGGCCACCGTACCCCGGCCGTGTAACCAGCGAAGATCGGCCAACAGCGCCGGCTGAGCCGGGTCCCAGTCAAATGTGCTTTGTCATCGCCGCATGGACAAACCGAAGGGACAAACCACGCGTGGGCCCGGAGCCGGACCTGCTGCGACCCTGTCCCGACATTGTCCTGTCCTCTGCCCCGCCTTACTCCTGTTCAGCATTGCGCGCTGGTGGCCCACGGGTCATTCGCGAGAACCCCTCCTCTACACCAAGCCCTCCGCAGAAATCTCCATGTCCTCGAGCTCGGGTAAGGGAAAGCGCAGAATGGCGGCGATACCTGACAACTGCGTGAGCTGCTCGCCTGACACGTGCATCGCGGAGAAGATCTGCAGCGAAGGTAGCGGGAAGGGGTTTGCAGCACCAACAGAAACACCAATAACAGCAACAGAGTGGGAAAGTGGTATCTGATGTTGTAACGGGTAAATTAACCACATAGGCATGCGTAAACACGGACGCATACACATACACGCACAGGCGCGCCGGCCTCACGTAATATAAGCACGCACAATGTTTTTTGCAACCCACCAGCGCCTCGCCACCCGCCTCCCGCACTCCCTCCACCAGTTCCGCATATCGCCGGCGCTTCTCGATGTGGTCGATGCGGAAGAGTGAGTCGCTGATGAGCAGCACCTGGATGGCACCTGGAGGCGGGACAGAAAGGAGGGCCGGGACAGGCTTTCGGAACGGATGCATAGCTGCGAAAGTGCTAGACCTTTCCGCAATAATGCGCAGCAGCAGTACGATACGATGATTGCTATTTTGCTTAAGTCCTGTCAGGGTAACTGCAAACCCAAACTCCAACCTAAGTCCGACTCCACATATCCTAAGTGAAATTGTGCATACAGGTCCCCGGTCCATGCATTCCCAGCATCCGGCCGCTGCGCGCCTCGTGACATTGCTTCTAGCAACACCGCAACTGAATAATACTCTGAAGCCCGACACGGTACCCACCGAGCTCGGCGGCGGCGAACACATGACCGGGGCCGTAGAAAGCGCGGGAGGAGTCCGCGGCAAGCAGGTCATAAAAGTCCTGGCGAAGCAAGGTACATATCATGGGCAAAGACACATCGGAAAGGGCGCACAAAACTATGTGATGGCAACAAACATAGGTGATGTAAGAAGTGCTTAGAAAGCTAGTTGCGCTTAACGCAGCTCTACAAGCGCCAAACATCGCCACGTCGCGCTGGCGGAGGCCGCCGGCGGCTACCTCCCACCTGCGCCGCCACATCCGATGCCGCCGTGCACGAGGCAACTACAGCACCGTAATTCCGGTATCACACAAGTGTCCAAACCCTCAGGTAAATCGAACAATTCTTTCCTGCCCAGGCGTGTCTGGAAACTTCTGGCAGCTGACCCAGTCCCCCCGGTTGAAAGTGGACACGATGAGCGGAACAATCCCGGTGGCGATGATGACAGTAGCATGATGTGTGGAATAGGGGGACATATCTTCACCCGTGGCCGCTACCCGGCGAAACCCTGCCTTTCCCGGTATTTCGGGGCACCCTCATCCAGTCACCCTAGTCAACTTCTCAGTGGATCGCTCAGGTTCCGCACCCACCACCGGCATCCAACGGAATCTGCCGGATTGAAGGCGGCTTAACCCCACTCCTGGTCAGCTCGCAAGATCACTTTATCCCAGGTCACCACCGTCCGTTGACTAGGGCCGCTTTACCCTCCACCATCGGAAGGATTTTCGACCCTGAAAGGTCTCGATCCCCAAATCTCCCGGGGGCAATGATCCGTGCCTTACCAGAAGTGCCTAACCTAAGCATGATGTTGAGGACAATGGCTCTTGTGCGAATGATGTATGGATGGCTATGGGGATGATGGTGGATGTGATGATGGATGCCGTGGCACCCGGCACGGGAGGTATGGTTGTGGTTGTAGTGGTTGGTTATGGTGAATCAGCTGGTGAGCGAAGATAGTTTCCAGGCAGGTCTCGCTCTGTTGGAAGCCCACCTGCAGTGCGGCCACCTCCCGTGCAGCTTTGGTGTCCTTAATGCGGGCAGCGATGCCCGGACATGACAACACCTCCTGGATGGATGGGCAGCGGGGTGGATGGGGGAATGGGTTGCAAGACACACAGCAATGCCATGCATGGGAAGTAATAACCGATTGAAATATGTGTTCTTTCGGTAGGTATAGGCCGGGTGGAGGCTCCAGCTACCGCGAGGCCATCCACTAGGCCTGGGCACTTAACGCCTCACAGCGGCGACCTCATGTAGCTGGTCTGGTCTGGTGGCGCCTTTGTGTATATGAAGGTTCCGGGTTCGATTCCTGGTCAGACCCCCGACATTGTTCGGGAGGTCTAGGTTTACTAACGCTGCTGAGGTGTGGAGATGAGGTCTAGTTGATGGACTAAGTTTCGCATGCTGAGATGGTGGTGATGGCTGATCTGTCTCTACGGATGTTGGGTGACTGGATGAGGAGGGGTCTAGTTGGCAGGACCCAAACCGCCGTCAGTCGTACGGTGTAATCAACTTTCAATATATATAGTCCATGGCCTCCCGGCTTTGACGGACCCCCCCGCACTCGTGCGGCACTTGTAACTTGTAACTTGTAACTTGTAGCTACGAAGCCCCCAAAACACCCTAGCACACCAGAGCGACCTCCTTAACTGGCATTACCTGCCGTACCAACACACACAACCAACTCTTCTGAGTTCACCGAAAACCTCGGTTTTCTATCGTTACTCTCAGAAAACCTTCCGTTTGTACGCAGAGGGCTCTTTGGTGCGTCGGTAACTCTGGTCTCTGAATCAAGTCCCACAAACCGCACCGACCTTCAAACTATGCTTGTAGGCCGACGACGCGGGTGCCAGCACCACCTTGTCCTTGTTCTCAACCAGCGGCCTGCCAGCCGGGACAGCGAAAAGCCGGACAAATAAGCAGTGCAAAAACGATGTGGATACCACGGGTGATGTGGAGACCGGCAAGCAAACCATGGAGTGGTGATGGTAGATGGAGTGGTGATGGTAAAGACATGTGTCGGCGTTTACCAAGAGAAGTTGTGACGCTGCAGGCTAGCATTGCAAGACCCGCTTCAGTACAGCGATAGCCGACTGGGAGGAGTCGTTTGCGCACGGCCGGGTTATGAGACAACATAGGTTGCTTGCTTATACCACCGATGCAACCGTGCATCTTAGCGCTACATGCCAGCCCAGAATGTGGCAACCAGCGCTCCGCAGGCAACAACAACTACAGCAACCAAACAAACGTCAAAAACAAGCCCAGCGGTCAGCAACAAGTACTAGAAGCAGACAGCAACTCGCCTGCAGCAGTACCGGCCACCAGCACCACCCTGACAATGAGGTACGGACTGACGGCATCACCCTCCCCCTTTTTAACGACCCCTGCCATCCATCCGTCCAACGTACCTGACGTCCTTGCGCACCGCCTCCAGATCCATATACTCCTTGAACTGCTCTTTGGCGAATCCGGGACCTGGCGGATGCGACCCGCGCGACAGACCCCCCACAACAGAGGATAGGTAATTGCAAGCAGAGGCCAGGTGAGTGCCGAGAGAGAGAGCCGCATACAAACCTCGAGTCCATGAAGGAGTGGACGGGATTACCTACGGTGCCAACGCAGCGCCTACGTAGGAGGCTCCAACAGCAAAAAGCCACAAGGAGCCTAGGAAGTGTTGGCGGTCTCAGGTTCCATGCGAGAGGAGACCTCTAGCAGGTGGCGGACACCAGGCACTTAGGGCAGCGCAGGAGAGGACCAGTTTTCACGCCCTCCCCGCATTGACCCACCCAGTTTTCAGTACCTGCTATGACCAGGCACTTGACGATTGAGAAGTCCACGTGCCGAACCACAGCGTTGAAGACGTGCTCCAGGAAGCGGTTCCACGCCTGGTGAGTGGGTCGAACAGCTGTAGCAATAAAGCAAACTCTCCAGGAAAGAGTGCCAGAAAGCCAACTCAGCACTGTCGGCCGACAGCCAAGCATAGCTCCTCTGTTTCGAATGCGCGTCGATCTGCTTGTGTGTATGTGTGCGTGTATGTACGACCGTGTGCGCGCACGTGTGTGTATTAGCTTCTTGTTTGCCATGCCATTCGATTGGCCGAATTCGCATAAGCATTTGCTAGAACCCCGTGACATTTGATACGTGCCAATTTCCTGAATAAGGCATGCCGCAGTCTTACGAACAACACCCCCCCCCCACACACACACACAAACTATGTTGACAGTATCCTTGAGTTGACGCCGTCGTAACCACGGGACAGGAACCTAGGGGGGAATTACATGCAAAATTCCAAGGGAGTCCACTGCCGACTGTGAATGTAGGAAATGGAAAGCGGAGATGCGAGGACGGCGGCGGCTTACCTTGTCGTAACCCATGGCCGCTGCGCCGCGCTTGCGGGGCAGGTTAGCTTCCACACGGGCTCGAACCAGGGTCGTGCTGCCGCCCACCAGACAGACATTTGCCAGACCCTCCTGTGCGCCGAAGATTGATGGACCGGGTCAACGTGAAAATCAGCGGTCGCCTTCAGCGCTAACAACAGGTCCTGGGCTAAGCGAGTGCGTCCAGCCAACGCTGCGACTTCACAGCAAGCTCATGCACGGGCACAAGGAGGCGAGCCGCTGCTGGATGACACGAATGCTCGAATCCCCGTGCGCTTCTGACATTGCTCCGTCCCTAGCAATTGCTTCTTGTTCCCGCGCTCCATGCCACGTAGCACAGCCAGCGCGCACGGATCTGCCCCCTGTACTTCGGAGATCTCTTGCCTCCTCCTTCCGGGCCCGGCTATCTGCCCTCAATTCCCCCTCCCGTAAGGTCTCTGGCTCTCTTACCACCGCACCGCCACCTCACCGTGATCAGCACCGCCGCCAGGTCCGCTGACAACGCGACGTCCGTTGCCTGCCCAGGAAGAATTGCACGAATTAAGATGCGCAAGCGGGTTGCAACGTAGCGGTTCAGGCAAGAGCAAAATGTAAGCGCGTAGAAACGGTAACAACAGCCTGAACTCTGAATATCATTGACGATTGGAAATGAGCACGACGGGATGGTCCGAAATGGCACACATGTTGCAGAGTTAAGCACCGTTGCAATCCAACCGCCTCGTGCGCAGCTTGTTCTTGCCGATTTCGCGGGTGGATGAATACCGACACCGCTTAGTACAAAGCGGCTGTACCGAGACTCATCCGACCACGTGTTCGGCTTGGAAAAGTAGAACAAAAAAGCGATTCCATCGCAGCGCGTGTTTAGCTCTGCTACGTGCAGCCAGCCACGCACGCAACCTAGAACTTCGCAGTCCGCACTCACCTGTCGTACACGCTCAATATCCAGCGCGTCCCATGCGGCCTGCATTCACGAGGTGGCGTACAAAACGAGTTCGATCAAATACGTCCGTAACGGCCAACAACACCAAATGAATGCAGATCATGTCAACAGTGACAGCGGACCCCGAGCTGAAAGGATCACCAGCACATGTATTCCCCAAGTACCGAATATATGCCGAAGCTCAATGCACTGTTCGTAGCGAAGTATGGGGGGGAGAGAGGTGGCAGCAGCACTCCGAGGCACTGATGCCCAACAAACCCCAGTTATTCGGTGCACACAATCCGCAACATGGACCCACAACACTACTCTCTACAACTATATTTACATGATCCTCGCCATAGAGCCAACCCTTGCAAGCTTCCGAAGCGCAGTGTAGCCCTTAATCCCAGACGTTCGTTTGCGTTCCTCTCTGCGCCAGCAGCGCATGCGGACACCAGTCGAGGCCCGGCACTTTCCTTTCTGCGACTTTTCCAAGCGCCCCTTCCCCACAACATCAGTGATATCCCCAACGCTCATCAGCGCCGCCAACGTCGCGGTGATGCTGGTGCCGTCTCGACCTCCATTGACTTTCAGACGCTCGCGTACGCGTACCTTGTACAGCGTGAATGCGCGGCCCAGTTCCAGCTCCAGGGAATGGTATGCGCCCAGCTTGATGTGCTCGCTTTCTGTCAGGTTGCGGCCCTTAACGCGGATTACGCCACCTGATGGGTATGGGGGAAATTATAATCCAGGAAACTGAGGACAGGTAAGAAAGGTGAGAAATGATACGATGGTGATGCAAAAAAGCACAAAATCAACTGCCAACGTTCGAGAGGAAGACACGGACACGGAGGAGGGGGAATTAAGCTTGGGTGATGACGTGGTAACGTAATGTCCCTCACAACGGGAGACTTTGCGAGGGTAGGCTCAGCGTATCCGCCCTTACACCCACCCTCGGCGTCGAATTCGATGCCCTCCACCTCCAACGTGAGCTTCAGCTTCAGGCGCTCCGTATCTGCGCCCGTCCCCTTGTCCACCTTGCGAAAAATTTTGGTTGCGAGGAAGCGCGGTATTAAAAGTGTGGATGATATTTTAAGAAGGAATAGCGTTATTGATGGTGTGAACGAACAGAGCAGTGAGGGAACCCACATTTAGGGGGACAGCGGGACAGACAAGATGAGGCAACGAAGGCAGCCACCACTACATGACAACACTACAGCTGAGTTAGACTGTGCAAGTGCGCACCTGGACCTTACGAAAGGTGGTGGCAGTGATATGGTCGCCTTCACGGGCCAGGTTGTACACGTGCCACATATCTTCAGCTGCGGGAAGGGGTGTGTGTTTCGGGGACCGTATGGTGACAACCTGTCGGTGAAACGAGGACGGAGAGTGCCACACGCAACCGCAACGACGGGGAAACCGAACCCAGCAGCATTCCCATGCCCCTAACTTTCCGGTCTGGTCCGTTGATAATTCTTTACGAAGTACCCAGTCCCATCTGGGTCGACGGCGCTTTCACAACGCCGGCCCTCCTCGTACCACCCATCCGCCGCTCACCTTCCTCTGGTAGGAGCTTCACGTGGCCCTCCGTGCCCTTGGCAAAGCCCTCCGCCAGAAGCTTCATGGCGGCGCTGATAAACACGCACAATTATATAGGTGATGTCGGCTTGTAACACACGCACCACGTGGGAGGAAGGCGCTGACAGATGCGGTAGTGCAAGTTCACTACAATTGTTTATATAGGCTTTACGATCAATTTAGAAGGGATACGCCTTCCTGACTGGATGCGTCGTTGCGGCCGTGGGCGGCTCCCTAACTGCGAGCAGCGACGCTCTCTACTGTGGCTGGACAACTGCAGCTGCTGCCGCCCCTAAGACAAGGAACACCGTATTATGCACTTGATGCCCCAAAAAGGTCCAACGCCGCCGCCCTGCCGGGAGATGTCTGCAGAGAGTGTGACTGTAGAGAGCGTTGTGTTTCAGGCCAGCGTTCCCTCTCTCCTCGGGGTGTGTGAACTTCCCGCGCCGAAAAACTAATTACTGTTGGGATATGAAAGAACAACAACCCAGTAGAGCGCAGCTGAGATGAAAGCGATGAAGCCAATTAAGGTCAGGTAGAGACCGGTGGTGCCCAGCGGGAAGTCGGAGGCGATGGACTTCTGTCGGCGAGGGGCCTTGCGGGCCTGCACGGCGGCCCGCTGTGGGACACGAGGACAAGGGTGAGAGGGGACGGAAGATGCGTCAGCCTAAAAAGCCCAACGGAGAGAGGGCGTTACGCGTGATGGATGCGGCTTTGAGATGTCGAACGATTACGAGCTGTTAGTACGCGGCCGGGACAAGGCCAGACATCAAGACATGTTGGGGCATGGGGAACAGCGGGGAAGTAACATATCTGTGCGATTTGCCGGAGTGCGCCTGAATTTTCTCCATTTCCGGCGGCGAACGGGTCTTCTTCCTGTACGGACACTTACCTTCTCGCCCTTCAGTGCCTCGAACTGTTCGCGATCTCCCAAGACCTTGCGCACCGCAGATGCCGTCGTCCCACGAGTAACTTGATCTGGTGCGCGAGGAAACATAAGAAAGGGAAGAGGGCCGGAGACATTTAAAGGGGGCCGGAATTCAGACAAAGCTTGTTAGCTAAGCTGAAGCGTAATCCAGCTTGTTACAGATAAATCTTACTGCATGACAGGTGAAGTGGATACGTTTCGGCATAAGTGCCGTTGCTCTCGGTAAGTTACAGGTGTCGCTGAAAGCCAGTAGTTCGGTAGTCCCAAATGCTAGACAGTGCGTTAACAATGCTAGCGGAACAGAAGCAACTGCTGGTGGGGGGAATCCAATACCACTCAGCCCTTTAGACGAGATCGATACCTTGCGCATACCTTTATTACTCTTGGTACCCATCGAAGGTCCTATGCTGCTAGTTAGGTGATTAACAAGGGAACAAGACAGGACTTCAGCGCCGGTCGTTAAATATGGAAAGTTCCGAGACAACCTGCTGTTGCTGAAAAAACTCCTGTGGTTGCAGAAATTTTCTAGGAAGAAGTGCAACGGTGTGCAACTCTTAAAGACGAATCGGAAGCCATGCTCTTGCTACTTTCGTGTCTCGCAGGTAGAAGCAGTACGGAGTACGCAAGCAACCAAATGAGGCCAAATGCCTGCCGTTAATGTCTTCACACTAATTATGATAAGGGCGTTCCAAAATATCCACCTTTCAGGCACATACTTTTGCCCCTTTTTAACCCATCACGGCTGACGACCCTACGCACATTACACAACTATACCCGCGGGTCCCCAACTCCGCATCCCATATAAGAATGCCGGTTTCCAACTGCACAAACAAAATTGTGACATACAATTAAATATGTAAACCTTGCGCATTTACGCAATAAATATCATAAGGAAAATTCAATATGTAGATGAGTAACATGTGAGGGCACGAGCCGACCACACAGTGTGAGCAACAATGTGAGCACACGAGCCGACCAGGCTGCACTGTAACAAGCAACCAACCTCTCACTCGTCCATTTCATACCCCGGGGCCCCTCGACAAGCCGCTGCTTGCAATTACGCTATCCCCCCACATTCCACGTAACATTTCCATCCTCACTGCTTCATTTATAACATTCATCTTCCCCATCCTCAACTCAGCCACCCGACCGCTACAAACCGCATCATCATAGCCCGCCGTCCCCATTCCCTCACAACAGCACGTCCGGATTCGTGACCGACGGCAAGAACGCAATCCTGCCCGTGAACAACGCCTCCATCTCCGCCAACGTCATCGACATTACCCTTGCCTCCCGGTCCCCGGACCCGTAGCTAATGTACACCGTGCCGTCGCTACCCAGGAAAAAGCCCGACACATACGCCACATGTGCCTTCGCGGGAAAGTTGGGATGCCTGAAAAAAGTCAGGTTGAGCTCGTCGGAAATGGCAGTGATCGCAAAGGGCGGCTCCGGCTGGAACTTGTAGGCGAAATGGCGATAGAGCCGCAGCTTCTTGGCCTTCCGTGCTCGCGGCCCGAGTCGCTCCCTATCGCTTCCTCCCCCGCCGCCAACGTCGAGCAGCTCGATGTGATGCATGATGCCCATGTAGTACGGTCGGCCGTCACGCGTCAGCTTGCCGTCAACCCAGATCACAGGTGGGCCGCCGTGTATGGAGTGGTGCACAAACGGCCCAAACAGATCCGGTCGGCCATTGGTTTCGTAGCGCACCTCACAGGCGCCCGTATTGCTGACCTCCAGGATGCGGTGCGGTTGAACCATGTGGGTTACATACAGCGTCTCCGTGCCATTGGGCTGCCGGTACACCCAGGGCATCCAGTTCTGCGTTTCGGAGGGGCAATCCGTGACCATCATAGCGGATGCCAAGGAAGCGTGCACTGAGCATGATTCTATGCTAGAAAAGAGAATCCCCACACAATCCCGCACTTCAAAACGCATCAAAAAGATGCAGTCTAATGCGTTTGACTCGATGAGAGAACCGGGTCAGGTCCATGTACAGGTCGCCAAAAAATCTCCGCCATCTGGAATACAACCGAAAACGTTTCACACCCTCTTTATGGTCAAGGAGAGGTCAGTTGAGACAACACGCACCACCACACAATCTGCAGGCCTAGACCGCAACCGGTTGTGTAGTTCGTCCTGGCCTGAGTCTACTTATGTGTGCGGTGGCCGCGCGGTGATGTTAAGCACAACACTGGATACGGCTCACAGTCCGCTCTCCCAAAGGACTCAAGGCGGGTTCATGTAGAGCCCCCGCTGGGGCCAAAGCCGCATCGGTGGCGTGACTGGTTTCACAAAATTTCAGGAAATATAGGACTATGAGAAGATAGATAGCCAAGGAAGAGCTGCCGTTCACACACACGTTCGACCTCGTCCGCAGCGAAATTACGTTGGTACTTCTCAGGCAAGATAAGTTGTGCGACCTTACATGCTGTACGGGGTTGTCTTGTTGGGCGTTGCACCGGGGGTTGGGGGTTGATGCACGTGCACAGCGCGTAAAGATGATTCAATACGGCGCACGAGGACCCTTCCTTGGGTGACGGCCAATGCCATTTCTATGAAGGAGGGGAAGCAGCAATCGTGTTGTTAAGGAGGATTTTGCCCACGCACCTTTTCCATGACGTACTTGGGCGTGTCAGGGTACTTGTACGAAGAAGTCAAGTGTAGCCGCAGTGGCTGTTGCAGCCGCCAAGGTCCCGCTGACTGCTCTGGTCGGATCTGCGCAATCCATTGGTCGTACACAACCTTTGAAGTGCAATACGGTCCTTCGCCAGGTATTCGCTCCGGTTTGCGTCCAAAGATGGTGTAGAGGCCCTTTCCTGGCCAAACCCATACTTTGACATCGCCAAGGCCTGTGACGTCCGTTTTGCCATCCCGGACGTCACTGTTAAACTCGCATTCGAGGTATGGCTCGAGCCAAGGGTTGTAGGACTGACATCGCAGGCCGAGAAGGTTGTCGCGTGGGCCCACACATACATAGAGTTGGTTGACCCAAAACACCTTGTGCTTGGCTTTTCGAAACGTTGTGCGCTTTAATGCGGACACGTATTTCTCGCCATATTCAACGAGGGATGGATTGTAGGCAGCCTCCAGAGTCATCCAGTTAACAGCGACATCATCAAGAGCCCGAACTCGGAGAAGAAGCGAACGCCACGCTGTTATTGTGCTCACAAGCACCAGCAGAGTGAGTTTCTGAGGCCTGACGCTAGCTCCATCTCCCATTATGAAAACTCTTTACCAAATCAACGACTGTGTAGGCCACTACGGAAAATGACTCAAGCGCCACCTAAGCCACAGCCCAGAGTAAGCATGGAAACGACCAGAGATATGCTGCTGCTCAGGATTCCTAAGTTCGTAAGGAAAAAGAAAACAAGACAAATTCAGAGCGGTACCGTATGTTGCTGCATTGATTGGCGACATAAGCAAACAATAACTTGGATATCTTGTGGCTTGTCCCGGCTGCAAACACTGGTAGCTGACCTGTGGCTGACTGATCTGCTGCTTATTTTGGCGGGCTGTGTACATCCCAACCCTCGTAGATTTAAAAACTCGTGCTCAGGGATTTCTCCACAATCGGATCCGTCAGTGTAAACACAGCGGTCCGACTTACTGCAACTTTGACAGCCAAACATATTTTGCATTGGACTATGCGATGACAAATGCCAGTACATTCAGCCGTATGCTCCTGTCAGCTCAACTTAAGCCATACGAGGGAGCTGCACATACATGAACAACGGTAAAGTATGTTAAAGATTAGTATGAGTTGCAGCAAAAAGGCTTATTTCACCAGTGCGTTTCGTCGGGGTTTCATCCACGGGTGTCCAGCGCATACTGTTTCCTCTTCTTCTCATGCCATTCCTCCCAAACGTGAGCGCTTTATCTCCAAGCGTTACGTCTTTACGTCCTCCTGAACGTTGGTTTGCAGGGAGGCCATGTAAGTGATGTCATGTCGCGCGGGAGTTTCGTCAGTGTCGTACAAGCACCGTAGGGGTACCGTGCATGGAGCTCGCAGCTCGAGAATCCCGATAACATGGGCTGTCGACCCACAAGGTTACTGCCCTTATTTTCGGACAAGGGCTATTGACCCTCATAGGAACATCCCACGATAATTTCCCCGAATCCGGCAGCTGTGGGCAGCACTCATCCGCTGGTAATTAAGGTGCGCGGCTGGAAGCCCCGCAACATTCTAAGAGCTTTTCATCACCACAGGCATTACCGGCTCATGGCAACATCCTTTTCGATGTGCAAACTCATAAGCATTGGCCGTCTATTTGTCCCAGCAGGGTGTCGCATTCGATTGTCCTTTCATTGTGGCGTATGTGGATCCTCTGCGCAGTTTTATCGTTGATTTAGTATGGAACGGTGATCGACTGTACGAGTGGCTTTCACTGTTCCATGTACGGAATTTCCGTCATGCTGTGACACAAGCTACAGATACCTATCTATTCATGGTCGAATGAATCAGAATAAAATTGGAATCTAGGTGTATTGTCCAAGTTTTGCTCAGGCGGACTTCTTCACCTGCGTGACACCTTATCTACATGGGCTGTTGGATGGTCTTGGGCTCGTGAACGATTGTTCATGTGTCTAGCGAAATGCACCGCAGACGATAGATTGCTGAGGCAATGACTGACCAGGATTCACTTTTCTGCGTTGCGTTGCTATGAGGGCTGGCTCTTTCCCAAGGCGCTAAGGGCTTCTCGCACTTGATTAAGGTTAGATCGCGCTGAACCAATCTTGGAGTCAACATGCAGCGCAAAAGTATCTTTGCTTTGGAAGATATGTATGATGTATTAAGCGGCCAGCGTTTCAGTCCAGCCCGCCTTCCAAGCTTTTGTTTTCCTTGTGTCCATCTTGGCTGAAGAGTTCACATGTTCATTATGTTTTCCCAACCCTGCGTGGTGCTTTTCCAGGCTCCGCTGTTATCGTCGAGGGAAACTGAAGCAACTTGGGCTTATTGTAACGGCATTATTTTTGGGGAATGAAGACTGCTGGTCAGGTCGGAGCGGCTGGCAGCAGCTTTAATATCCCAGCCCAACCGGCTGCCGCGCAAAAGTCCGAGTATCAGAGTTCCGGTGCCCACGGCGCAGTTAGTAATGCGGATTTTTCTGTATCCCATGCTTCGTCCTGTGGCGGTCTGGGACCACTGTCAAAGGCCAGGTCAGGGCCACGCTGGGGAGACGCGTCGGGCCATGGAGCACAAGGGCGGGTTGGCCTTGTCGCGACTGCGACCACAACTGGAGACGGGCATGCCCTTATGGGCAGGGTGGCTATTTCGAGCCGCGATACTAGCGTAGGGCCGGGCTTTAGTGTGGGCGCGAAGAGGACAAGGGCACTGGCTATGGACGGCGATGCTGCATCCACACAGACAGAACCATCAGTTCCATGCCACCCGCGAGTTTCCTCGTTGCCAGCTCAGGTCAACGAGGACTCCGTAAGTGATGGGCATTGCCGCGTGCCTGCCGCTATGCACCCTTCCGGTTTCGAGCAGCCGGAACGAGCACTCCCGCTGCCAATACGGCAGCGGGTCGCAGCCAATACGGCGACCAGGACGGACCAGGAGGCAGTAGCGCAGCTGCTGGGCTTCGTGAGTGAAGTCGCCAAACTCGGCAGTTTTCAGGAAAACGGCCGAGGGTGCCACCCCGGGGCTACGGCATCAAACGCCACAGCATCTGCCGGCGTGTCCTCCGTTCTCAGTGGCCTCAGCGCAGGCGGTGACAGCCACCTGTCTGCACTCCTGTCCGCCAGCTCACCCGTCATCCTGGATAAGCGCCTTGCAGCTGCGCTGGCAGATCCTACTGTGGCCGCGGCCACAGCCCAGGCGCTGGCTAACCGTGTCCTCGTTCCATTGTGCAGCCTAGAAAGTGCTGACGGCGCGGCGGCTAAACGCACCGGGTCTTTCGGCTCTCAAGGAAACGAACGGCCGCCCCGTGGAGTTGAGCACCAGCTTGCCGAACCTGATCCTTTCCCCTGCTGGCAAGAGAACGGCGTCGACGCTCTGACGGTAGTGTGCGGCAATGGTGCTGCGAGCCAAAAACGGCCACCAGGCGTGACAACACCGACCGTCGAAGGGGATAGTAATGGCAGCGCCAGCGGCAGCGCTGGCGATGCTAGCTTGACAGCAACAGCTGGTGATAGAAACCCCATCGGCGGCAGCGGGCAGAGCGACGAGGCAGCTGGTGGCGGTGGTGGTGGTGACGGGGCTAGCAATGGCCAGAGCGACTGCTTGTGCAGGGAAAAGCTTTCAGACTTTGAACTGAGGGATGCAGCAATGGGTAGCAACGCCCCAGCGGCGTGTGGCGCAGCGGATGGCACAGTAAGCCCTGTGCCTTGCGGACCGAGAGACACGTGTGCGCATTTGGCAGCGGATGTACAGGCTAGCAGCGTGGCCCAGCAAGGCAGCGGCGGGACCGGCGCTGGGCCTGCAGCGGCCAGAGCCTCCACGGCCATTCCGCGCCGCGATACGCAGCTTTCGCTCCCTTGCGCGCCCGTGTCTGCCCAGCTAGGTGCAGCACTCCCTCCGGAGGTCGCTGCACGGCTGAAGAAGCGGATTCGCATCATTCAGCCCATAAGCCAAACATGGGTGGAAGAAACCTTGCAGTGCGGCAGTGGCGCCATCTCTCAGTCTTTCAGTGGCAGCGAGGACAGGCCTGTTGGTAGTGGTAGTGGAGGCCGTGTTGCCCACGTGCACGGCAGCGCCAACCCGGTGGCGAACGAACGGCGTCATCAGGGGGAATCGGGGCGGCCCCCGGCGTCGGCGGCGGCAGCGGCAGCCCTACCATCCAGCGGTGTAACGCTTGGGGCGCCAGAGCTGCCGCAAGGGGGACCTCTGCCGCGACTAGGCGCAGATGGGATGGCTGTGCAACCGTGCGTTTCAGGAGCGGCGGGGGAGCCGCGTGACGCTAGGAATGCCCCGGCCGAACGGGATACTTCCGTGCGCGATAAGCCAGCGGCGGCGGCGGCAGCCGTTCCTGCTGCAGCAGCTCCTGCCGTGACGGCGGTGACCGCGTCCGTAGGACCGCCGTTCTCTTCCTTGCAACAGCAGCATGCAGTGACGGCTGCCACCGATCATCCCTTGCAATTGTCAGGCCTGGCGGCATTGGCTGCGCTAGCCGCGGCAGCTGACAAGGTCTCTCCCTTTACAACGGACAGCGCCAGCACCCTGCAGCTGGTGCCGCAACAGCAGCAGGGAATGTCTGCCACGATGGGTTCCACGGCGCCGCTGATGCTACCTCACAGTTATGGCAGTAACAACACGTCCGTGTCGGCCACACCCACAACTGCGACGACCGAATCGCCCTTCAGCTCCGCCGTGCTTCCGCCACGATTAGCCTCCGGCCCCGGCAGTCACCTTGGCGGCAGCTGTAGCGACGCCGCGGTAGCCGCGGGGCCGCTTCCTGCTACAGCTACCGGCGGCGCGACGGCCCTTGCGCCGGGACAGGACTCTCTAAGCGCACTGCTGGGACGCACCTTATCCTCGGGCTTGCCTGGGACCGCCGTGGCTGTTGCTGCGAACCCCGGTTTGGTCCGCGCTGCGTCTGATGCCTTGCGCGAAGCTGCCACCGCCAACACGACGTTGTTGCCGCAGCAGACGCGGTCCCTGGCCCCGCTACCTAGCCAGCGAACAGTGTCAGCGGCCAATTCAACGTCGGCGTCATGCCTGGGAAAGGTACAGGGTGAGCTTACACTGCTATACCACTGGTACGTGGCTAACAAAGCGGCCTACCTTGACCAAGCGCAGCTACAGCTACAGCGTATCGATGCTCTAACAGCAGCAAGGGACAGCGCGGCTGGAGGCAGCGGCGCCAACGCCGCAGCGGCGGCATGTGCACGGGCGGAGTCTGCTGAGGCGGCGCGCGCGTTCGAGACGGCGCTCAAGATCATGAGTGTGTGTGGACGTGTAGAACAGCAGTGGCTATCGGCGCCGCCGCCGGCGCGTGGAGGACCTCCAGCGACGGGTGCTGCGTTGCGCGCCATGGCGGCGGCGGCGCCGCCGCCGCCAGCCGCAGAGGCGACCGCCGTGGGTCTGCCCCGCCAGGCGTCAGGTTCAGCTGGCGCGGCTCTGCCTGTGAACTTGCCTGCGCCGGCTGCCGGCTGGTCCCACGGCGCCTGTGCGGCGCTGGCGGTTGCGGCAGCCCTCGTGGGTTCGGTCGGAAGAGGGCAAGCTGGGTCTGGGCTTGGTAGCGGCGGCTCACCGCCCGGCACTGGGTCGATGGCGATGAAAGAGGGAGGGCCGAGGAACTCTCCGAGTTGGTTCGCCGGCTTGGGGCCGCTTGGGGCCACATGCGGACATCCCTTTTCCTTGGCGGCGGCGCAGAGACTACCTGCTGAGGCGGCAACCGGAGGTGTGGTGGCGGGGGCTCCGGTGCCTATGGTGACGGCGGCGGCAGCGGCGCAGCTTCCACAGTCGCCGCCGCAACAACTGAGGGCCAGCGCATCGCCGCTGTCGCCGCCGGTTGCGCCTTGCAGCCAAGCCGCTTTTGCTTGAGTTAGTTTTGGGGGCTGCGTGGTGGGCTAGGCATGTGTACGTCTCGTAGGTTTGGCGCGACATGAGATGAAAAAAGACTTTTTCGTCGGAGGTTTTAATCGTTTTGTCAACTTGACACCCGTGACGAAGTGTATCGCACGTAGTCAATTGCCGCGAGATATGCCGCGGTATTGCAATTTCAGCCTGCCAGAGGCTTTTTGTTCAACCTATGGTGATCTAGTTTTCCTTGACTGTAAAGCTTCAGATCATCCGTTTTCGCTATGATGTACGAAACGACAGATTTTGTTCTTGTGTTGGTGTCGTGTCTTGTGTCTGTTTTAGACTGCCAGCGATTGGCAAATGAAGCATGCAGGTTAGTGAGTTATGTTACGCAGCCAACACTTATTATACTTTTCAGGTCCGGCAGTACGGCGGCTCTGCATCGCGAGCTGGCTGATGTGCACGTGGTGGTCATTGCTAGTCGAGGATACAATGTTCAATGGAACAGGAAGGATTGTGAACGGAGTGGCGGGTGGATGGAGGCTCTGCGAGGATACGGACTCGTCGTGGTGTTCCTCTGATGTCCGTATTTTCTCCTACGGGTGCGTACGACAGCTGGCGTACGGCGCCTGAGTGTAAATTGGATAGGCCTTGTGATTCCGGTTACCAACCCGAAGACGACTGTTGTTTGCACGTTAGAATGGACCTTTTGCGTTGTTTTGTCTTGCAGCGAATTTCGTGTGTTTTCTGCCTATCTGTCTGTCTGTCTTGTCGTGTGGTTGAGACGCAGTTTTAGGCTTTACACCCAGAGCAGAGAGGTTCCGTGTGCGTGGTATGTAGGTACGTATGTATGTATGGTGCGAGGACAGTGTTCAGGGAAGTAGTGCGGCGTGCTGAATCAGCAGCCAGCTTGGGGTTGTAGGGAGGTTGGCTGCGGTCCTGTCGAGCTTGGGGTGTTTAGCTTGTGATTGGCATTAGTAGCCGTTGTGAAGGCAGCGCCGGCCCTGCGAATGTGCAGGAGCAGCATCCCAGTCCAACCCTCCGTGTCCCTCTGTCCGTACGGTACATAGTAACAAATTACCGATCGATTGCTCTTCATTATCTTGTTTATTCTGAAGACGATGCTTTTCGAGACGCCGCATTTTGTCGGAGCGAGGTGATTTCTGTAGGTTGTAGTCTGTGTACTGCCGACATCGTTCACAATCATGTACAGGTTTCCAACATCGCAACAACACACCAAAGGTTGCGTGGGAAAAGAGTTATTCGCTATCTTTGCTGCAACACTGCGGCCGTGACACCGCACCGTGCTGCACCCATACCCCTCCGGGGGTGGTGGGTGCTTCAGCGGTCAGGCTAACGGCTGGCGCCTTCTCTTTCTATATTCCTATGGACTTTAGAACGGTGGTGGCAGGTTGCTGGTTACCATATATGGTTTTTAGTCCTTCTTCTGTTGTGTCAATAATGTGCCAAATCGATCGGCACCAGTCGGGTTCTTGTCAAATTGCGTTAGTGCTGGAGGTTGAGAGGTGTTGGTTAGGGAATAAGAGAGGCCATAGGTCATTGGGACGGAGAGTACATATATTGAGAGAGAGGGAAGGCATTGTTGCGGGAAGGGAGATGAACTGCGGTCCGCGGCGCCGTGTCTTGTGGCTAGTGTGGCGTGGCGCCGTGCGATGCTGCTGGATGCCGATGGGGTCGCAGTGGGGTTGTCGTCAGTCCGATGATGGAAAGAGCGGAAAGAGTCAACAGTCTGGACCCGGTAGCTACCTGGTGGCTTTGTCGGTGATGTCGGTTTTGCCGCGGCACGGTTGGCAGGTTGTCCACGCCGCTGTCTGGCGGCAGGGTCAGGACGCCTCGTAACGCTTCGCCCGGCCTGGTGAGGAATGGGATCAATTAGAGATATTGATGGTGATTGGTGCAACAGCACATTTGCTTGTGGCGCGTTTTTAATGGCAGGCATGCGAGCGACCTTAGCGGTTTTGCTGCGGAGAATTTCTCATGGCACCTTGCGGAGTCAAGAGTGTGTCAGTTGTGAACTTGTGTTCCCGAGCCCTTATCTTGGAGGCGCTCTTGTGGCCCCCAGAACCGGGCGCCAGAATTGGTGGTGGTGCTCACGGTGACGATGCTAGCTGATCATTGATCGTTCCAGGTGGTTTACAACTAATGGCGAATAAATGGTAGATTCCGGATGGGGATATGGATTCCGCAGCTCTTGTACAGCTTTGAACGGCAGTTGTGCCAATAGGTGAATGGCGTTAAACGGATTGTGGAGGACGGCATGCACGCACGCACGCTGCAAGCAGCGCGTCAGCAGTTGGATTGTTCCCACACGGTCGCCTCCACCGTTGTGGTGGTTTTTAATTTGTTCCTGTCCAGGGATAATGATGTGGAGATTGCGGTGGGTGTCGCTATGCTGGTATGGCCGTTGGTAATCGATTCATGAATCTTTAGCTGTGTTTTTTGGACGCTTCAGGGCACAGCAAGTTGGTTTGTTGTCAGCCTATCCTGGTTAAATTCTTGCTTGCCCCATATGCCGCGGCCGTTTACACGCTTCCTTCCTTCCGTTTGTCCACGTAACCTACCTTATTTGGTCTTTAGAGCCGTTTTGGAGTCATCAACGCCTGGTCATGATGTGTAGCTTTTTTGTTTGTACGGCGTTGTCGTTTCGGAATCCTGGTGGTTTCCTCTCACTTGACAGTACGACGATGGTTGAACAATTGGGTGCCAACTGGCCTGGAAGGCAAAAGGCACTAGAGGTCTCAGAAGCAATGGTCTGAGCTCGCATCCTAGTAAACCCTAAGCACTCCCACGCACGTGCATGTGGTGCCGCACCCGCAGAGAGAGAGCGGGGGCTAGTCGGGCGTCCTTAGTATGGGCAACGTCATCCTTCTACGCGTATAACGGCATCGAGCGTCAAGCTTATAGCAGCGCCTGCATAGCAAGGCGGATAGGAGAGAGGGGGTTCTCTGATGCGTCGGTTGGGGAGGAGGCCGTTTGTTAGGCCTGTCAGCACTTGGGCATCTACCGGATTAGTTGCTGAGGAGAGGCAAGAGCGTGGGTAAGGTCCTTAGTACCAACTGGGCGCTGTGCGCATGCCAGCGTGTGTGTGTAGGGTGCCGGAAACCCCTTTTGAATTTTTTTGTGCTGAGGCCAGCAATTAAAGGCGGGGCGGAGCTATAAGCGCCTCGCCGGGCAGTCGCGCAACTGCCGCTGACTTGCGACTGACCATTTAGGACAGGGGACTTGCGACTCGAGCCTAGCGGCGACTGCGTACGTTTCGCAGTGCTTGCCGGGGCGCCTGGTCTGCAATTGAATACTGGCATAGTACTACGGCTTTTTCCTTTCCCTTGCTCTTGACTTGTCTTGGCTCTGGTAAGGAAGCCGCATGTCTTTTTTGAGGAGACTGCGTGATGAGGGTATTACACGGCATAGCTGCACAGGAGCATGTCTTGATCTTAAAAGTGGCCTTAGTCCTTGGGACTGGCCCGCCGTGTACATACGTAGGTGAGTATGTATGCGGTGGAAATGTGAATACCCATGTGGCAGGAGAGAGCGTAGAGCACGCTAAGCTATGCGGAGGTTGAGCATCAACTATTGCCTGACGAATTTGGCTGAGCATCCTTTTTTGCATCGGCGTCACGGCTGGCTTCAAACTTTGGCGGCAAAATGGCCTCATTCCTTGTTTTAGCCCCGGGTAAATGTGTACAGCAGCTTTATGAAGGACGGGGCAGAGTTGTTAGGAATGCTGACATTGGCACCAGTAAGGGTGTTTCGAATTGGATTTGTGCGCCGCTGCGCTTCAACGGTGCTGCTGCATTCAAAGTTGCGCGTATTTAAACTTGGAATGAATGTGGCAAGTTGGTGTGGTGATAAGAAAGCTACAAGGTAACATTGGTGACTTTGGCTTTGTATGGGGCGATGGCGAGAAGATGCATTCAGAACAATTGTGTAGGCATACCGGTATGAACCACGGCCATTCGGCTTAGCCGGACACGGTGGGCATACGCACGGAAACGTGCTGTGCAATATGCATGTTATAGTTTGGAAGACGACTTGCCGTCGCGCATTCACCGGTCTGGCAAATTTCTCAGAGACGTGGATCAGAGGAAAGCACGTTCGCATACAACCCATGGGAAGAGGGCGGGGCGGATGCAATGCCCGACAATATACAAAGCTTGCACAAACCTGCACGGCCAACACGCTTGCCTACTATTACATGAAATTGGTACGCAAACGAGCTGCTATGCTAGATTAAAGTCTTTCACGAAAATAAGAGAAACAGGTGTATGTTTTCAACGTCCGGTTGCATTGCAGGAGGGCAAATGGCTTACGACTACCATACGCAATACTCGAATGCAGCAATAATGCCGCAATGTGCGTGAAGAGAAACCTTCCAGAAACTTCCTCTGTTTCCGCCCTCTTTCCCTGTGATATACTCGTGCCTCGGCAACTACTACCCAGTACATCCGCGCGTCATTTTCATAGACCGAAAGAACGCACGTCATCTGCACGCATACGGCATGGCACCTGTCATCGCAAACTGTTACGTACAACCGCCAACACACCGAAATGGGCACTGACTCGCGCTTATGGGATTACAAGGGCTTCACCCATCAGCCGCCAACAAAACCGACTCCTCGCACATCTTTGACACTCTTTGACCTGGCCAGTACCCACCACCATAGACGCTTGCGCAGGTACAAGCACTCGGCTGGCACAGCCACTTTGCACCCCTCCCGCATTTCCAAACACCCCGGGACCGGGGCCGAGAGAACGGCCGTCCACATTGAGTCCTGGCCAACACACGTCCTGGGCCCCCTAGTCCTCACACCGCAATCCCGGCGTCGCATGGGCTTTGCTCCCACAACACCTGCAGCTGGTGCTCCACACATGCATGCATGTGCAAAACGGCCACAGCCCACGCCGAGAACCCATCGTCGCTCCAAATCCCTCGGCTGTGAACGACGCAGGAGCATGCTTAGATATGTCCATACAAACGTGCCTGCTTTTGTGTGTCTTTATACCTGCGTCACTGTCCAACGGAACCCCACATCCTTGGTCTCCTCTCCTTACCAGTCACCACGAGGTCCAGGTCGGTTGCGAGTTGCCATATTGCCCACAGCGAGGGCGCCCGTCACGCACAGCTCCACAAGCCACTGCCCGCGATAGCAAGACAAAACCAGCCCCTCACGCGCTTCCTCCCTCCCCCTGGTCGGATCCGATGCGTTTAGGCGTTCTCGACCTGCGCAGCAGAACGCATGACAGCCATTCCTGGATGTTACCACCACAGAAACGGTTCCTTATCCTCGGTTGAACATACCCTCTCTTCTCCCTCAAGGGTAACCGCGGCGAGCCCTCCGGTGTGTGTAACTCCCCTTTCCGTATGGTTGGGAGTCCTGGGGTGCGAAGAAAACGTTTCCTAGCGCTGCATCAGAGAATCACCACGACGACACCCCGTCCACGCCATCGCCGTCACCCCCACCACATCGCACTTCTGGAATCCAGCTGGGTCGCATCGCGACATGGCAATTAGGACCGGCTATTCCGGATTTCTGCATTGGCCTGTATAATTCTTCCCCTCGCGGCTCAGCTACTAAAAGCGACATACACGGTCGCTTTCGCGTCCCGCGCGTTTCGCGTCGCTTTCGCGACGAATTTACGAACATGCGCAGTAAGATGACGAGCCAACACCTCACCTGGGAAAGGTCCTTGGCAGTGAGGTCCAGGTCCCTCCCGGTAATGCGCCGGTACATGTCCAGCACGTCCTCCACCGTCGTCTCAAAGTGAGTGGTGGCGTCATAGCCCTTGGAGATGTAACACTTGTCCCTGCAGCAGCAGCAGCAGCAGCAGCAGCAGCAACAAGGGTCATTGCAATATGGCCATCGTCGCGGTCATCGTAGTTGCTAACCAAGGGTTTTCGTTGGGTCCCTTTTCTTGCGCACGCCGGGGAGGATAGGGAGACCACGCACAGAAGAGGGAAAGAGAGAAGAAGAGGAAAATGGAGAGAAAGGAAAAGAAAAAGAGGAAAATAGAGAGAAAGGGATATATATAGAGAGGGAAACGCGATGCCAGCTGTTGACATTCTTGGCTTCCAGGCCTCCTCACCACGGCTGGGGGACGGAGCCAGTCCACCACCGCACGCACAAGTTAGGTCACATCATTTTATCCCATATCACATCACTATCACGCCACATCGCGGCACTCACCTGGCTCCGTCCTCCAGCGGCTCACACACCTCCCGAACCTCCACGAACTTCTCGTCCACGGGACCCAGCAACGCCAGACCCGGAGCCAGATCCACCTGTATGTACACATGTGTGTGTGTGTGTGAGTGTGTGAGTGTATATGTTTTTGTCAACGTAACACCAGGACGATTTGCTCGGCCCACCCGCCCTCCACCCCTCTCCCTCCCAACGCCCTTTCCAGCCTCCAGCCCCCCTGCACCCCTCCCTCCTTGCCACCACCCCTGACTTCTCGGTTCTCCCCCCCGTGCCCTCCACGTCTCCATCCGGCTCTCCCCTTGTTTCCCCACCCCCCCGCTTCCAACCTCACCTCTGGGTTCGGCGTCTCCATTGTGGTGCTCACAAACGCCAACCACTTGTCTGCTCGGAAGGAAGCAAAGCAGAGCGGGGAGATAGAAGTGGTTCCAGGCGGACGGTGGGAGGGGGGTAATTAGGGAGGCAAGCGGAGCGGGGAGCTTATGAGCAATGCATTGGCGGATTCTTGAGGGGAAGGAGAGTCGAAAAAAATAGTAAGAAATCAACGGAAACGGAACACGGAAACGCAGCAGAGAGAAAAGCAACGCGCAGACGAAAGCAACTCGGTAATTGTTAAAATTAGCATTAGTACGGGGCCTTCGTGCATACCTTTCGCCGCCACGTTATGCGCGTACGAGCAACAGAAGACGTACATGTCGGATTTGCGGCCAGTCTGCTTCTGCGGCAGGATGATCTGAACGCTGTGCGCGCTGTCAGTGTTGGGGATGGGGTGGCTCTGAGGAATGGTAGCGCGAAGCGCGAAGCATTGGCGTCCCCCAGCAGCGGAAACGGGCGGGGGGAAGAGGGGAGAAAAATGAAAAGGGGCAAATGCGGATCGGGTAAGGAGGAAAGGAGAGAGGGTAAAACTGCACGGCGGAAAAAGTGAAGAGAAACCAACTGCGCCGACGTTTAAGGAGCGGACTGCCATGGGTTTAAACCTTTCCCGGGGACCGAGCGGAAAACGCGGGAGAGGGCAAAACAGTCCTAAGCTCCCAAAACCCTGCTACCACACAACACCGCACCGGGGGGCCTTCAGGGGTCTGCTGCGGTAACAGACTGAACGCCTCCTCAGTCAAAAGACATGTTAGGTGCGGAGTTATTTTCCCCATGATGTCACCCGACTAAGAAACACCCCAGCCAGGGTGGGGTGTTTCTTCCCGCTCCCATTGTCCCCCTTTCTTTCGCTCCCCGGCCCTGAACGACAGACAGCTGTCTCCTGGTAACCTCGGGTGACCCGACCTTGTTGTTGGACAAGAGGGTACATATTCTCGTGGGTAAGAAATATTTCCATTCCTTTCTCTTCTTTCTCATCATTTCATCGGATCATCGCCTACGAAGAGTCCCGAATCTCATCCCGAAATCCATCCGCCAGGGTAGACCCAGAGACCCAAGCAACACCGCGCAGCTCCACGCCTCCTCCCGCTCCGAAACACTGCGAAACCCACCATGATGGCGATGGCTCGCACCACCTTGGACACCACTCGGGTCTTGCCGGGGAAGTACGAGGGGTCGCCAACCACCAGCTTCGCACGAGCTACGTCATCTGAGGGCCGCGGGGGCGGTACGGCAGGGCCCCCCGAGAACGATGAGGAATAACGAATGAATGGCATGCATAGGATTGTTTCCATCAATCCTTAATATATACATTATAGAGATGATGGAAATAATCTAATCCAAAACTGTAAATTTCAATGCTTAAAGGATAGCAAGCCATGAATTGTAAACAAATCTGAGTAAGTTTCATTTGGCGTTGGTCAACGCGCAGAGAAACCTGCAAACCGAAACAGTTGATGTTCTAACGGTGCCGTACCTCCATTCTTGATGCCCACCGCCACGCCGTTCTCGTACAGCACCTCCATGCTCGGTTGGTTGAGCATGTACGTGCCGCCGTACACGGCTGACAGGCGGGCAAACGCCTGTGGCAGCTCACCGAGGCCGTACCGGGGATACAAGTACGGCGACTTTAGGCCCTCGTACCTGCAGTACGCAGGGGAAACAACGGACGATGATAAAGAGAGAACAGGGGGAGATCAGGGAACTCACTTCCTCAGAAATTCGCGGTTCGTACGGCATGCGGTTCGTACAACAGCCGGGCTCATACTGCATGGCAACACACCTGAACAATGACTCGTGGTAGAGCTTGATCCTTAGAACGGTGGCCAGCGCTGGCTGGGTCAGGTACGCGTCGTCACGCTGTGGAGGTGCGCAGGACATGGAGCGGGGCAGAGGATGAGGAAGAGGTGGTAGGAGCGGGAAGGCGGGAAAAGACCTCATACACTGACGGGGACCGTGCCTTTTGAAATAGTGTGTGTATCCGCGCGTGCGCGTGAGAGGGAGAGTGTGTTGTGTGCGTGGGAGGGAGAAGATTTCATGCAAGAGGCAAAGGATCGACCCAATCGCCGACGCGTGTGAGAGTGCATACACATGTGTTGGGATGAGAAAGTGTTTCGGCAGTCTTCGGAGCAGGAGGTGGAGCGCAAGGGAGCGGAACGCGATGTACGGGTAGGGACCTGGTCGGCTGGTCGGTGTGTGAGGCTCCCAGAAAGGAGAAGACTCCACGTCCCCCTCTCCACGTCCCCCGGGGTTCCCCCAAACCCCTCTTACCTCCCGCCTCTTTTCCGGTCCCCCCGCTCTTCCCTGCCCTCTTACTCCTTTCCCTCACCAGAGATCTACCCCCACCCTCCTCTCCCGTGCTCGAGGCCTCCCTCCCCTCTTTTCCCCTCCCCGCCCCCTCCCCGGCCCCGCCCCTCACATGCAGCCCCAGCGCATGTCCAATGAAGTCCTGCGTGTCCTCGGACAGGTCGTACTGCTTGTACAGCTCACTCATGGTCATGCGTTTCAGGTCCAGGCCCTTGTGGGTTTTGGGGTCCGACTCCTCGTAGTCCTGAACGTAACTGTACACACATACAGAAACACATACCGGGGGGTCACACGGGAAGCAGAAGGCAAGCGAAAATGACCACATCAGTCTTCTCAGGTGTAAGTGTGAACCAACTGCTTTAATTTCTTTCCCTAAAGTAAAACATTCTAGTGCATGTACATGTTCCCGGTGGGCGGCTGCGGTAAATCATGTGCGAGAAATTCAGAAATGAGCTGCCGGCGTCCAAAGTCCGAAAGTGCGGGAGTCCTGGGTTGGGGTGGGAATCGAGGGAAGCGCAAGGGCTCGGCAAAGCTATGCGGACGCCGACGATTCCCAAATGTGGGTGTAAATGTATGTAAATATGTATGTATGTATGTATGTATGTATGTATGTATGTATGTATGTATGTATGTATGTATGTATGTATGTATGTATGTATGTATGTATGTATGTATGTGCGTGTGCGAGTGTAACCAGGTGTATGTGCGTGCGTTTGATCATATTAATAAACAAGAGGTGATCAACTGCCGACATCCCAAACGGGCGGGGGACGGTAAACGGATGGGAACGGGAGGTAAGGAGAAGGTAAGGGAATCAGCGAATGCGGTGAACACAACTCGGCTCTCGCACAAACATATACACACACGCACGTACACTCGAACTCACCCTCACAGAAACCACCCTCACACAACCCTCCCCCTCCCCCAAGGAATGCACAGTCACAGTCACAGTCACAGTCACAGTCACACACACGCACACACATCCAACGCGAACCCCGCACTCTTTTTCCCGGCGCACGCCCTGCCCTCGGCAAGGACACTGCGTTGGTGTCGGCCCCTTACAGGAAGAAGTTCCTTGCCCGACGCTTTTCAAACAGCCCCATCAGCTGCGAGCTCAGCGCCTCCGTATCGTTGGCCGGGACCTTGTGCACCTTGCCCTTCTGTAGCACGTAGCTGCCATCCACAGCCTGAATGAGGGCGTGTGAGCGTGTGAACGTGTGTGCGTGTGTGTATGTATGTGTGCATATGTGTCGGTGGGGAGATGGGGAAGAGTAGAATCACCATATGGCAATGATGCACGAATGATGAAGAGCGAGAAGAAAAAGGCGTGTCCAAGGCGGAAGAGCTCAAATGATGGTGATGATGATGATGATGATGATGATGGCACGAGGAAACGAATTAAAATCTGCTTCGGCGCACGAGAAGCTTACCACACGACCGACTGTGCGCATTTGGTGAAAGGCTGACAAAAGGTCTCCAGAACCCAATGGATCCGATGGAGCCTTCCTGGGAGTCTGAAAGTGCCTTTCCTTAGGTCCGGTCTGCTGCACAATCCCTTTCCTGCCCACTTCCCACCCCAGTGAACCCCCCTCGTCTGCCCCCGTCTGCACAGCAGTCCAGTCCAAGCGGTCCTCTCTTCTCCAGTGGAAGTGAAAGGGCTCAGGTGCGCGCTTCGGCTCCATGGTGCTGCTGCTTTGCTCGGCGGCAACTACCTTTTCCCACCTACTAGACAATTTTGGACGTCGGCCGTTGAATTGGTCCTCTGTTTCTCGCATCATCACTATACAAAATCTCCCTAGCCCCCTTTGGCCGCCACCACGTGCATACCAGCAGCTGATTCACAGGCGGAAAAACAGGTCCAGCCTCGCCCCCATCCCATCTGGGTCAGCGGTCTTTTCCACTTTCCCTTCCATTTCCTTGGCCTCAAAACCATCCAATCCAGACCATGCCACATTGACCCCACCCGAACCTCACTCCACCTCGCCCCCCGACACACCTTGAACTCCAGGTACTTGACCACATCGGTGTGCAGCAGCACCCGCACCAGTTTGCCGTTGGCCATCATGAACTTGGGAACCATGTCCACGTTGTAGTCACGGGAGGGCCCCAGCTTCTCGGGGGGCTTGTCGCCGCCACGGAACCGCTCATACAACTGCAGAGGGAGGGGAAGGAAAATGAGGAAATGCACATTCGGGTACACAACCTAGGTACATGTAGTTGTGGAAGACATATACATGTCGCTGGCGGCAGGCTGGGCAGGAAAGTGCAATAGGTGTTGGGAAGGGGGACGGGGAGGGGGAAAACTTACGCTCGCTTGGTTGCAGGCAGTTTGGTTTAGTTTGTCGTGCTGGTCAAGGGGGAAGGGTGCTTCGTGATTTGAGCTTTTTTAGAATGTGGGTTTTGAATTGTGGGACTGACTCGAAGGCATGGGTGGAGGGGTAATTCGGGAGGCGTAGCGAGGCGGGTAGGTGGGTTCAGGCGGGCGAAAGGTAAGGTTGGTTCAGAGGCGTCAGCTTGTAAGGCGGTGGATTGTGGACAGGATGGGGGAGAGGTAGCGCTTAGTAGGGTGATATCAAGGGGTTTGCTTGATTAAATAGGGGGGTTTATACGCCGAAACGGAGAACAGCAGAAATGGAGTTGGTTAAGATTTGCAACTCTTGTGCGCCCGGTTGGTCATGGGTTTCGCAAGCGAAGGGATGCCGAAAGGCAAGGAGTGTCCCTTAACGGCAAAGGAGCTTGACTTTTAAAAAATACAAGAGGAGGCAGATAGAACTTAATGTACTGTCACCGTGCCGGTGGATGCTGATGGATGTGCTTCAGCGGCACACCAGGTCTTCGTGTTGCGGTAGATTTTCGCCCGTAAGATGCCTTCTTACTTTTATCCTAAAGGGCCTCCTTATGCGCCATGACGCGCTTACAGTGCGCCGTTTGCGGGCAAAGCCCACATGTCCCTGCCCACCTGGATGAGGCTGAGAGAGGCCGATTCCCCACCATAGTAGTTGTTGCGATCAACATGCAAGACCTGAGGCCACAGCGGCTCATTCAGGTTGGCCCGCGCGGCTGGACAACATTTCACGCGCGTCTTCCCACCTTCTTCTTGTCAACTGATAGAAGGCCGCTGATGATACATTCCTTCAGACCCGTCCCGAGCACAATGACATCATACTCCTCGTTCATCCTCCCTACGGACGGCTTTCCGGCAGATCGGGCTTGATAAGCAGCTCTATTTGTTAGCCCTGAGCGCAATATGTACAAAGTCTTCAACACTGTTTTGTACAAACACAGCGTACAACCGTGCCTTTGGTGTTGTGATTGTCCTCGCAAAATGATAACGGACAAATCCCGTAATCCCGCCAACGGTTCCACCCACAAGTGAATTCCTATAATGTGTTGTTCATTTCAATTTATTTATCTTACTGCAATTGCTTTGGAACAGTTACTTAGACCGTTCTCCAACAGGGCGATGGCTGGGACCACGGCTCACCGGACAAGAGTGTTGTTTCCGTTAGTTGCCAGATAATTTCTTTCAGTAGGGTGTTTTGTGCCCAACACGCCGTCATGAAGCGAGGTGGCCATCCTCCAAAGAAGGCCCGGCTGGAACTTGATGACGAGGAGGAGGCGCTGGACCCGATTGCAGCAGCTATCGAAGCAAAACGTAAGTCCTTTGAGGACATAGCGGCGTGCATGAGCTTGATGGTTGTGCGCGAGTTTGGCTCAAAAGGTCAATGTCACAGGTCTTCGCTTACTAGAGGCAAGCAAGGGAGCCGACCCCTTAGCACCCGACGCTGTCGCAACGAGGCCGCAGCGTGTGGACAGCGCCCCAGGTGCGTTAAGAAGAGACCATATAGGACGGGGCTGGGTTTTGCCGCGCCCTGCAACCCTGCACTACACGACCTTTTTCGAGCAATGGACGCATTGCCCCCGGAGCAGACCATGCCCTCCCTTCAGTGTCCCGTATACGCGGTAAAGACCTTCCCAATCTGCTTCATCTGTTGTGAACCCCTACAGACCTTCAAAGGAATAGGACGGAAGCGGCAGCACCTATCTTCCCCGTAGTAACAACCACAATCACACGCATCCCGCGGCGGGGCCTCCCAGCGGCACAGCAGGGTCAACCTCCGGATGCTGCACCCATCATCGCCGGGCTGCCGAATGCGACACCGGCGGCGGTGATGTCGGCTGCAACGGACAAGCCGACCGACAGTGGTGGCGAGGCTGACGGCGGGAATGCCCTGGCCGCACTCCAGGGGTACAGGTATCCATCCTGTTGGATCCCTAGGCAGCATGTTGTAACTCACACGCATCTGCGCTATTGCTTTTTGCACAGAGACCCCATTAAGGCTTTCCCGGCTTGCTGCTCTCATCACGCCTTTCCTTTATGTTTCCACGGTATTTCCTGACGATGCACAGTGATGCAGATGAAGCGTCCTCCGCGTCGCCTGAAGCGTCCTCGGAGGATGAGCGTGATGGCCAGATGGCTGACGCGGCGACGGCGATGGCGTCCGCGGCGGGCCGCAGCAGGCTGCGCACCCAATCGGCAACGCAGGTGGCGGCTCGGGGGTCGGCTTCAGCAGGCACTGCAGCTCTGCCGTCCGGTCGCGAGGAGGCGTGTGGTGGGGAGCCATCCCCTGGACCAGGTGCTGCTGATGCGGTAGCTGGTGCGAGTACAGCTGTAGCACCGAAAGTGCGTAGTGTGGATGGCGCTGCTTTAGCTGGTGGGAAGCAGCCCCCAGGCAAAGGGGTGGCTTCGGCAGCAGGTGCTGGAGGTGGCGATGCCATGGATTTAGAGGTGCGTCATGACCTATGCCGCTATGGTTTGTGGGACCTACGGCTTGCCTAAGGCCCTTGGGTGGGTTGTTGCAACTGTGGCTGTTGCGCTCGGATATGGTCCTGGACCTACACCTTTTGCAGGCATGGACGCGTTTGACACTGTGTTTTGCCGCGCGCTACCGCTGCTGCTGCAGCTTGCCAGCTTCCTGCAGGAGCTCGAGGCCAGCGGTTTGCTGGGCGAGGCTGACGGCGTCGGCGAGGAGCCGGACGGTGCTGCGGCAAGCGAGGCGGGCGCAGAAACAGCCACCACGAACACGCCAGGTGGAGGACTTACTGGTGCACCGCCATCCACCGCTGCCACCACCGAAAATGCTGCCGGCGCCGAGCAGCGCGTGCTAGGCTACCTGCTGCAGGCGCCCGAATGGAGCAAATGCCTGGACACGGGGTCCAGCAAGGTGTACTATTGGAACCTCACCACAGGGGAGGTGGCCTGGGAGCCGCCGCCTAGCACGGACGGCGACCTGCTCCTGCCGCCTGAGGAACCGGAAGCCGAGTCTGGCGGCGACGGCGCCGATGTAGCAGCATCGACGGGCGCTGCGCCTATTTCCTATGGACTTGATAGGGAGGTGACCCAAGGGCAGTCTATGGTGGTCGGCGAGGCGCACGGTGGAGGTGAAGAAGCTACGGCGGCAGCGGAACAGACGGCGACGGCTGTGCTGGCGGAGAAAGAGGAAGAGGCGGCGGCATTGCCGGCGAGTGGGATGGAGGTGGTTTCGGGGCTAGGACTGTCAGTTGCGGCCCCAGAGGTGTGGGAGCCCAGCAGTGCAACGGCGGCGGATCAGGAGGACACTGGCGATGAGGGCGGCGGGACAGCTGCCGCCAGCACGGACGGGGCCGTGGACCGTGGAGGGATAGCCACAGCGGCGCCGCCACACGCCATGGAGGACACAGAGCCTGGCGATGGTCCCGCGGCTGCAGCAGCTACGGCGTCCCCTTCGCTATGCCCGGAGGCAGCACCAGCAGCGCCGCAAGCTACGGTGCCGCCGCTGGGCACCGATGCATTGATGGAGGTGGAGTGTCTGAACGGGCGCTCCAGCGGCGGCGGAACCGTCGCCTCGGCATCTGCGGGTGGCGAGTGCCAAGCGCCGGTGGGTCACGATTTGGGTCAGGAGGGAATAAATGAGGCGATGGCGCCAGGAGCATCAGGCGCAACAGCATCTGGCGCTGGGCCTATGGGAGGTCCTGTCGTAGAGGTGCCGCGGCGGGAAGCTGAGGACGTTACGGAGGCGAGCACCGGCGGAAGCGAAGGGCGAGAGCCAGTGCGCGCCGCGGCGGCCCGCGCTGCAGCGGGTGTGGTGAGCGCACTTCCTGGGCCGGGCGGCCACGCGCCCGTTGACGGCGGCGGCGGTGCTGGCAGCACTGGCGGTGATGCTGCTGAGGCAGCTAATGCGGCTGGCACGGACCAGGG